GACTTTAATTGTATTCATAATAAAGTTATTGAGGGAAACATCAGATCGTGAAAACACAAATCTTTCTAATAAATGTAGAAAGTTGTTTGTGGTCCTTTTGTTGTTCAGTCTACAATGAACATTTATTTAAACCAGATGTTGAATCAGAATCCGAATCAAATATAAATCTTGAGTTTAATCTGTGATCCGTCTTCACTGTTTACATGTTAAACAAAATCTCATCAATCCGATCGGCTGCAGCATCCAATCACATGACTGATGAACAATGAGGGGGCGTGTCGGCCGTTAAAACACTTCCTGGAAGTCTGTTCTCGTGGTTCCTCGCTCATGGCTCCTCGCTCATGGCTCCTCAGAGATCCCTCCTCGCTCCTCCGAGCTAAATAAGAGCTTTGGGACGGCCGTCAATATGGCGGCGCAGAACAACTTCCGGTTGAAGCGAGGATCGAGGAAATGACAATTAAGAGACTTGGGATGTACCCACTGAGGTGAAGTCGGACAGTTTTCATCCTACAAAGAATAAACAGGAAGTCACAGAAACAATGACTTCCTGTTAGATCTGTAGGCTTCTTGTAGTTTACAGACCTCCTGATTTATTCATGCGTTTGTAAATATATATATTTATGTGTAAATGTGCGTTCATTGTTTATATTTTGTTCTTTTTATGCTTTTGAAACACTTTGCTGCTTGCTTTGATGTTTTGTATAAATAATCTTTATTATATGTATTATTATTATTATTATTATCAATCACACAATATATATTTTTTTAGATTAAACCTTCTTTTAGACTAATAGTCAACATTCGAGCATTAAATATTATAATTACACAGAAAATTATGATTTTCTACTAAACGTGTTTGTTGTAAAATCTAAGAACCAATCAGCTCTTTGATCCAGAGACAGCAGGCGTTTCCCATCATGCATTGGGGTGACCTGGCTCAAAAATCTGCAGCCGCCTTGCTGTCGGGGGTCATCGATGACCTTGTGTTCATGACGTCAGAGCAAGTCGGACACAAATCTACCCAGCATGCATTGTGATCGATTCTGATCCGGACCGGCTCTTCTCGAACGAGCCTATAGCTGAGAGACGTGGTCACATGACCCAGGTTATGTGACTGAAGCCTCATGCAGCCTGAAACAAAGACAACAATCATCTGATATTAATCACAGTTTTATTTGTGTTACACTGTTATTGGTTATTGATTTATTTATCATTAGTTTTAACTTAACTTATAACTAATCAATCATCTATAATCAAACATCTGAGTCTCTTTATTCAGACTGGTTCGGTTCAGCCGTCTGATAGATCGGGGTTCAGTGGACCCGTCTGATTGGTCAGAGGGCATTCAGGCCCGTCCCTTCAGCTTCCTTCAACTCTTTTAAAGTCACGTCTTCAGTTGAGGCCACGCCCCCAACACACATGTCCACGTCCTCTTTCAAAGACACGCCCTCTTCTTTTCGCGAGGCGGGGCTTGTTACCGACCTTCAAACCACAGACAATTTATTTATTTATTACTTATTGATTAAGATCAGCAGCTTGCTAACAAAGCTAACGGTGGTAATAAAGCTAATGATGCTAATGAAGACATCAATGCGAATGAAGCTAAAGATGCTCTAGAAGCTAACACTGCTAACGAAGCTGATTGTTAGCCGTTAGCCATTAGCTCACCATCTCTCCTCCACGTCTTCGATGGTGTCGGGCAGCGGAATGTTAAGCGTCTCTGGCAGGAAGCAGGCGAAGCAGCCGGCCAACACTGCTGACCCCCCGTACACCATACTGGGCAGAGCAGGGAATACCTGGGAAATGTAGTCCATAAGTACTGTTAGCAACAAGTAGCATTAGCAACAACGAAGCTGAAGCAGAGAGACCGGAGAAGAACTGTTTTAAGACTGTAACACAGAAGGATTGTTGATATATTTATTCTTTAGATCAATGACATAGATTTTATGAATAAAGAGTATTAAAAAGAATTAAAGCTGCGAGCAGCGATGAACGGGCCCTCGCATCCTCCAGCGCGTCGGGGGTGCTGGCGGGACTCCGGCCTGCGCGTCCGAGAACGTCCGAGAACGTCCGCGACCGTCGGACAGCGCGTCCGCGAGTGAGACGTTTTTAATCCCGCGTGAACCGCCTGATGCTGGAAATGATGCTTTGCAAATAGTCAGATGCTTTCTGTATCCGCTACCTAGCGCTACAGAACACGTACATTATGTAGCTCTATAGCAAGTGTAAACCACATTGTGTAAAAGTCATGTAAATCAGATGGTGTTTGTCAAAAAATGCAGATTTCCTTTGGCCAGCAGGTGGCGCTGTGAGTATTAGGGAAAATTAGCTTGTAGACCTCCTCAGGCCATGAGTGTTATCAAGCATGTGAAGTTTGGGACCGTTTGGAACAAGTCCAGCTGAGTTACATCAGACATTTCCTTTAGCCAGTAGGCTTTGCGGGTTTACTGTAGCGCCCCCTAGCGGTCGAATGCAAAACAATTCTCAGGGTATGTTACTGGATGCGATGTGCACATATGCTGAATATTTTGGTAATTTAGAAAAAATGGTTGAGAAGTTATGTGTATTGATATTTTGCCACGCCCCTAAGAAGTGTATTGGTCCATATCTTGTAAACGCAAAGAGATATCAAAAAGCTTTTGATAACTTTTGATGATCTAGATCCAATTATGATCCACAGTAAATTTCGTAGAAATCAGACCCAGCGTGTAGGAGTTCGCAAAAATGTGTTTTTTTCACTAAATTCAAAATGGCTGACTTCCGGTTGGGTTTAGAGCTTAGAGCTCCGGGGCTTTTTTGTAAGTCTGCATGCGATACATCTGTTTACCAAATGTTATACATCTAAATTTTATATATAGATAGTGAAACGTACTGCAAGGGCTGCATCGTCGAAATATTGTATAAATTCATACAAAATTGAGAATAGCCGACTTCCTGTAGGGTTTGGAGCATGGTCCCAAGAGACTTTTCTTTAAGTCTCCATAGGACACATGTGCCTACCAAGCTTCATATATGTAGCCAAAAGTTTGCGCTGGGGCTACTCTTTTGAAATATTGTAGGGGGCGCTATAGAGGCAATTTAAAACGGCCATTAAAGAAAATCATATAAACTATTTCTTCATATGGCCTGTGACACATGTACAAAGTTCCATGAGTTTTTGAGTATCCCAACCCACTAAACCATCAGCTTCCTTTTTCATGGCGAACTATGCGTCGCCACGGCAACAGGGTTCAACAAAAACTCACAATATTCATGATGATGCATCATCAATGTCTTAAGGCTATCCTTACCAAATTTTAGACTAATCAGGTCACCTGGCTAGGAGGTATAAATAAAAGTATAGAATATGACATTTCCTTTAGCCAGTAGGCGGCGCTATGAGTTATTGAATTTTTTTCAATTGAAGTATGTTTAGGCTTGAAGTAGCATCATGCAAAAGAAGTTTTGTGCGGATTGGATAATGTACCTTGGAGTTATAACAACTTATAAGAACTTATTTTTTCATAAACAATGAGGCAAAATGGCCTCCACGCCACGTCAAGGTTCTTGGATGAAAACTCTCGATTTTGATAACTTTTAATCACAAAGGTCTTAAGAGCATCTTGACCAAAGTAGAAGTTGATCGCTTAAAATCTGTAGGAGGAGTTCGTTAAAGTCTGAAGGCTGAAATCTGCAAAAAGTGAGAAAAAGCACAAATTCGAGGGTTTACTGTAGCGCCCCCTAGTTGTTGTATGCAAAATAAATCTCAGGGTATGTTAGAGGATGCAATGTGCACATATGCTGAAAATCTGGTAATTGTAAGACAAACGGTTGAGAAGTTATATGTATTGATATTAAGCCACGCCCCTAAGAAGTTTATTGGTACATATCTTGTAAACGAAAAGAGATATCAAAAAGCTTTTGATAACTGTTGATGACGTAGATCCAGTAATGATCCACAGCAAATTTTTTAGTAATGGGACTAAGCATGTAGGAGGAGTTCATAGAAATGTGTTTTACACTAAATTCAATATGGCGGAAAATCTAAGTAGGCGGAGCTTAGAGGTCCGATTGGCTTTTTTGTAGCTCTAGCTCAAGTGGACATGTGTGTCAAATTTCAAGTCAATCGGACATACTGGCCGAGGGGCGTCGCCGGTCCAACTTGTAGGGGGTGCTAGAGAGCCATTTCTTTACACAGAAAGATGCATTCTTTTCAGATTGCTATTTTCACCAGGCCTGACAAGTCCCCAAAATTTGGTGAGTTTTCATGCATGGCAAGTCCTCCAACCACGCGTACGTTTACCTAAACGGGTACAATTTCAATTGGGCCTTCACTGGCCGACGTTGTCGGTTGCTCGGGCCCTAATAATTATTCATCAATGAGTTGATTATTGTTAAGGTTTGAGTCAGCGATGTCACCTCGTCCAGGATGAGGACGGCAGGGGCCGCCATGCTGCCAATTCTGGCCATGGTGGAGACGAAGCCCATTCCTGTCTGTCTGAACACACACACACACACACACACACACATACCATGTTTTATTTGGGTTTATGTTGGACATTCTCATTCTATATGTGACATACGTAAACATGTCCTCATCTTTGTATCTTGCTGAAGGCAGCCTGTCTCACCTGATGACGGTTGGGTAGAGCTCTCCAGTGTACAGGTAGACGGTGGTGAAGGAGGCGGAGGTGAAACCTTTACCGAGACACGCCAACACGGTCCTCATGGTCTGCATGTCTGTGTGTTCAGAAATATCATTATATCATTATGTATCATCATATATCACTGCCGAGAGGGTGGTTGGCTGCAATCTGCCGTCACTCCAGGATTTGTTCGCTTCAAGGACCCTGAAGCGAGCAAGAAGGATTGTAAACGACCCCTCTCACCCTGGACATAAACTGTTCGTGCCCCTTCCATCTGGCAGGAGGCTGCGGTCCATCAGGACCAAGACCTCACGCCACACGAACAGTTTCTTCCCGTCGGCAGGCGGGCTGATGAACAAAGCCCCGGACCCCCACTGACTCTGTCATCCCCAGGACAACCTCCTACCGGTCACTCCCCTGCATATCCCTTCATATTTAAATACACTCGTCACTTTTACATTACACTTACATTACACCTGTTTACAGTCCTGTTATCTGTTTGTCTGTGCACTATATTTTATATTCTTTTATATTCTATTGTAAATTTTAATGTTTCTATTTCTTGCACTGTGTTAATTGTTGTTGATTGTCTAATGTTATTGTCTAATGTTATGCACCACCTGCCATGACAAATTCCTTGTATGTGAAACATACATTGGCAATAAACGGTTCTGATTCTGATTATATATCATATATATCATTATATATGATGTATCATTATGTATCATTATATGGTATATTATATATATATATATCATCATATGTCACAATGTATCATATATATCAATATGTATCATCATATATCATTAATAATGAAATATGATGATACATAATACATAATGATTAGTGTGTGTATAATGTGTATTATTGTGTGTATAATATATATTAGTGAGTACTACCTGTGGGGACGAAGATGTTGGCGAAGATGATGACAGCAGACACGAACAGACAGGTGGCCTGAGAGACCCGCCTCCCCAGGTAAGTGAGCATGCCCAGAGCCATCAGTTTGGCGGGAAAATCAACAGCTCCAAAAATGATCTGTATCTGGTAGATACTCACCTGGAACAAGCATCAGCCAATAGGAGGACAAGAAGGGTTAAACCAAAGTGAACAAACATGAGAGAGACAGACAGACAGAGAGAGACAGACAGACAGAGAGACAGACAGACAGAGAGACAGAGAGAGAGAGGGAGACAGACAGACAGACAGACAGAGAGAGAGACAGACAGACAGAGAGATAGACAGAGAGACAGACATACAGAGAGATAGACAGACAGAGAGAGAGACAGACAGACAGAGAGAGAGACAGACAGACAGACATACAGAGAGATAGACAGACAGAGAGACAAACAGACAGAGAGACAGACAGGTAGGCAGGTAAACAGTAGAAAGACACGCACAAACAAAAACACTTGGTTCGGGAAAACCTCCTGGTTGGGTTTAAATTAATTATGTAAAATAACTAAAATGTAAACAACGTGACATAAGTACAGAAAACACATCACACACATATCACTAAACTTTAAAGTAACTTTAAAATAACTCGACATCACTTTGTGACTCTAACGTGTGTTTGTTTGTTTGAACCATCCACAGCTTGTTCTCCGAGCGTCTCATAATGACACTAAAGGCTCGTTGGGCGTCGCTCTCAGACGCTGAGGGGAAATGAGGACGGGTTCACAGACAAACAGGTGTGACGTTTCCTCTCTCTACCTTCGAACACATGATCTAAACCTCTGGTATCAGGTGCACGTTAAGCATTAATTATATTATGTATTAATTATATTCAGGTGACTCACCCCGAACTTCTGCAGGTCCATTGCCAAACCGTAGTATGCAAAACTGGTGGAGAACCTGCAGAGGAAGACATACTGACGATAGACAGGTGGACGGATGGACAGGTGGACAGGCGGACAAGTAGACAGGTAGATTTCTTTTCCAGATCTCCTTTATATTTTCATTTATTCATCACAGACCTCAGAACTCTAATTCAATCTGAAACACTCGTGTTTTCATAAAAGACAAAGTCAAGATATTTCTATCTTGACTATGTCTTATCATTTAGTTATCGCTACTGAGAATTTAACAAACATTTAAAAAAAA